GAAAGTTTCACAAGGTTGCTGGGTTGTGAACAAAATTTCGCACCAGACGAAAGAACAAAAAAGAATAAGATGAAAAGAACAGCTGCGGAACGAGCTTTGGATTTTCTTAAGCTTGCTTTTTGGACAATTTTTAGGGATACTGTAATGGAATACTCTTCTTAATCTATACGTTTGTTAACTTAAGCAACGTTATTTTGATCAGACAGGCTTTTTAAATCGCTATGGTCAATAGGTGTGACGAGCAGGGTAGGCGCTTCAGAGCGATCTGATGACTCATTGGGAGATCAACTAGGGAAGCTTTTCAACGCAAATATGCCATAGGTCGACTTTAGCAGGGTGATTTTAACTAACTCGATGTGTTCATCATATTTTTTCTAGCCTGATCTCTGCAGTGAATGTTAGCTGTGGAAATAGAATACCACCCGTAATTTCTAGACCAACTTTTGAGCCAGCAGCCATCGAATTCCCGTTCTATGGGTAGGCGACGCATCCTACATCTGCGTTAACCTCCAGGTGCAATCCTACCACATTATGAAGCAAGTGGTGGTGAACTTAATAGGGATGCGAGGTTTATTGAGGTCTCCCTGTCTGTTGACAGGGAGCGCACCTGTCCGGGAAAATAGAATTACTGGCTTGACCCTAGCTGCCTCCCGCAAGTCATTGTATTGGTTAATTCTCATATAAGTGCCACCACGAATCTGAATAGAAGTAGAGTGTGTGGCGCATCCTCGAACGATATTGAGTAATGCCTAATAATCTATACTTTATACTTTTTATTTTAATGTACCATCTTAATTACAACCAACGGAATCTGCGGGACTAACGATACTGTGGGACTGTGCGGGACTGACGATAGGTAGGAGGAGACCATCTTCATTACAACAACTAATTTGGTTGATACTGCTAAACCAGTTTAGGTCCCAGCAAAGGTCGTATTCTGCTATAATTTTTCTTGTAGCTATATTGCGCAAGTACAAATAGACGCACCGATCGGGTAGCAACCGACCTTCGTGTGTGCATAGAGTGGTTACCAGTTTGACTAGATTAGCTGGCACTGCTGAGGAAGCACAAGCTTGTAGCTCTATGAAAGGATAGAAGACAAAGCAATCGAAAT